TGGCTGCAGCAGTAAAGTACTTCTTTTGTTTTTAAGATTTATTTTGGGGGATTTTTATGCCTTCATTGGAGAGACAGTGTAGTGGGAGGAGGGGGATGATGTGCAGGTCAGATTTATACCCGGATCCCACGCCTGGAGGACTACAGACTCCAAACATGGGGTGCACAAACTAACCACAGATTTTATCATTTGGAACGTTTTCTGCATGACGTTGAAATCTGCAGCAACGTGTCACGACTGTTTTCTGTTTTAGTGTTTGTGGTAATGAAACTCTGGACGCGCTGAACTCTTGCCTCACATATCAAAAGATCTTCAAAAAATCCGGTACCACGTGTTTGTCAGACACACGATGCATCACAGAGCGCCACAGGCGGTCATCCCTGCCCGTGTCCATCACGCTCTATAACTCCTCCCTTTGAGAGTCAGAACTGAAAACGAACATCAAACAAACTGAGCAACACGTCTGTAAACCGTCAATTATTTTATCAGTCGTTCACGAGTGCTATACCTGGATGACGCCGTCTGACTAGCGGTTATGTCGCACGCCTCATTTACGGAGGCTGCAGCCGCTGTGGGTTCAAATCTGACCTCGGCCCTTTGCTGCACACCACCCCCCCCTCTCCTCCAGTCGTTTCCTGTCTCTTTTCAGCTGTCCGATTCCAATAAAGGCAGAACAGCCCCCAAAAAAATCTTTAAATCAGACAAAAAGCGACCGCAAGGGAGAGCGCCGTCTAAATGACATGAACGCACAAAAACATTAAGCGAGTGTGCAGGAGTCTGTGTGGAGGTCAAAAACAAGACATGACCCGATGCCGTGTTGGCAGGACTTCTATCTTTGCTGCAGCGATATCGTTTGATCTGTGATGACGACACGACATGTACGTGGTCAAACGCTGCACACGTTCAGCTGAAGTCGTTTTAACACACAAACTGTCGTTCACACCGACGACCTCCTCTGAGCTTCTAAATAAAGAAAACAACGATGGAGAAACGTTTGCAGGTTGAAGTGAATCACAGCTTGAAGTTTTGCATGTTTCATAAGTTACATAACGTTTATACGAGGTGAAAAATGCTGCTTTTGTTTTGGTTCCCACACAGTGACCCCGCTGGACCTCCTCCGCGCTGAAACACGAGTCCAACATGAGAACACAGAGAGACCGAAGAGACGCTTTAAAGGGAGCGAGACGGCGTGCAAACAGACGCCAATCACACATCTACAGACTCAACGCTAACACAGGAACATTCACAACATCACATTAATAAAATATCAAAGTATGGAGTATTTAGAAGAGTCTGCAACAAACTCCAGGCTGAATCTACTCATGAAGTCAGACGACATCAGCCTGCACACGTTAACGTTAAAGGAAGCGCGCACGCAATGAGACAACTCAAGATTATTACGTTAAAACGATGTCGCTTCAAAATCAACTTTCATGATGCAGCTCGTCGATGCTGAGAATATCTTTTTCTGCTTTTCACTCAAGTTTCACGTAATGCAAACATTTTTTAAAACCAGATTCCTGCACAGACATCTTCAAGTATTTATTTAACCATAATGTGACCATCAGAGGCTTGCTTTGGAGAATAATCTGCAGGTTTTTAATCTCTAGAGCGCCATCGTTAACCCCTCAACGCTCGTGTAGAATAATGTTCACAGTGCAGCTTCTCAGCAGCAGCAGCACACACACACACACACACACACACACACACACACACACACTGCGAGAGCACAGAGGGTTAGCATGCTAACTGAAACATCACAGGTTGTAAATACACACAAGCTCAGAGGGGCTGATTAAACTCTGTAAATTAAGTACAAGCTTTAGAAATATTTAACTGACTCTCATCGGGTGTGAAACATTTTTAACACGTTTGGATTTATTTATTATTTTTGCTGCTTTGAGAATTTTTTGTTTTTATAAAAGATAAAGCAGTGATTTCAAACATCCACTCAAACCAAGTTTTAAATTTTTTTTCAACAAGAGCTGCAACAAAATGAGATTTTTCAGACGAGGGGGAAAATTCTACATGTTGGCATTAAATTAAAAATCTTTGTGCACGCTTCACGCGGACGCTGTGCAGACGCCTTTCTGTCGTTTACACTTCGAGCACGAGGACGCCTTCAGAGCTTTTCTGTAGCTGTTGTACGTTTTCTTCACTCTCACTCTCTGCAGGAATTCTATACATTTTTCTCTCCAGAGAGGAGGGCTTGTTCCCTCTCAGTGACCCCCCCCCTCCTCCTCCTCCTCACTCACTCACACACACACACACACACACACACACACCCCCTCCAGCCCCCGCTCTCCCCTCCCCACCTCGACCACTCCTGCTGACCTCAGCCTGACACACATTTCAGTCAACTTCATGATGAAAATTACGACTGTCTCTGTCATTTAAAACCTTTCAGTCTCCATCTCACAGCGCTCACTTTTAATCCAGACACACTCACACACTCACAGTGGACGTGGTCAGGGGGTCAGGGGCGTCCCTGGGCTGCGCCCCCCTGCAGCCTATACGGGGGCTTTAGCATAAACACTTATAGAATAAAAAGAAAGGAATATAACCATAGAAGTTCCCTTACAGGAGTGGGCCCCCTCCCCCCTCACATAAAGGGTTTGTTCCTAGCCGCCCCTCCCTCCCACGCAAACACACACACACACACACACACACCTCCACCGAGGCTCCATGTCGACACTCGAACTACACAGAACAACTTTCTACTAGAAGTGTTTATAGCAAAATAACACTAAATCCACACTAATGACACCAAGCAGGAGCAGCTGTTTGAGAAGTTTCATTAAAAACATGTCAACATTAAAATACGTAATTTATCAGTATATTTATAAGAGAACGACGTTACAAGGCCCCAACACCCAAATTAACGCCCACCAATAATACCTAACCATTTTTATTCAATAATAGTAATTTAAACCCTTACTTTATAGTTTTGTCTATTTTTACACCAAAACAACCGACAGGTAGAATATGTGAAAATTTAAATTCACGCGGATTAATTTGAAACGTAATTTGAATAATTTGGCTCCCGCTGTTTCAACATATAACGGCCATTTTAAGAAATGTCCATAAAAAAGGTCTCTACTTATTTAAAACCCACGTCAGTATAACTTATCATCATAACGGTGTATTTGAGCAATTAATCAAAGCCAGTTTAGCCGTGAAGGGGTAAAGTAGGCCGTTGAGGAGACCCGGAACTACACACGGTGTTAAAAAAAAAATCCCTCCGCCTGTTCAGCGGTTCACAGCGTCGCCATTTTGCCCTCACAGCCTGACGTGGAGAGCTTCGTGGGTGCTCCATGTGCAGAGGAGCCACGGAGGGCCTCAGCTCAACCCACGGTGCCCCCCTTTGCTCCCCCCACAAATCACCTTTGTCACGAAGGTTACATCAGAGACGTTGGGGGCCACGAAAACACTCAATAATTAACCGTCATCCTGAGAGAGGGAAGCCACCACGGCCCGGTGCCGCCATGTTGGCTCATTTTAAAACAGTATGGCGAGTGACCCGTTTGAGCAGATTTACAAACATTAACATCTTTAATGAACTGTTTTTAGTCTTTAAACACATCTACACTAACAAATAAGCACAGCTGAGGTTTTAAAATCCAAAATGTCTTCTTCGTTTGTTCATATGGCGCAACCACAATCTGCTTTAATTTGAACACGTGGCCACAATCACGTAAAATGACGTAATTAATCACCTCAACAACATGTTAGAATTTATTTAAGGCCAAAAATAAATCAAAAGGACGAAATTCACGCTCACTTTTGTGTGGTAAAGTGTGAAAAGCACGTGTGTGGCCCGTAATGGCGGAACATGGAGGCTGACCTCGTATCTGTGCCAAAGGTCACAGGCATGAATAATGATATATCACAGATTCTATAAACCTGCTTGAAAACCAGGTCAAATCCGAGCAGCTCGCCTATATGGACCCCAGTTTAAACCACAAGCAGCTGTCAGAGCTACAGGTAATGTTTTCATTCAAATGCATTAAACACAAAACTGCATTCCACATATAATTAAAATGATAAACACCACTATTTTATACATCTATTCTTACACGACAACTGACTGCAAACTATCATCTAAATAAACACCAGGCTTAGAGAATGAGATTAAAATGAATATGTACGTTAATTTGACAAAACAAGTAGGAGTCTGTCTGCAATTAATATTTACATACAAAATTAAACAACTCATTAAAATGATGTAACTTCACTTTAAGGAATTCTACTTCAAGGATTTTTAAATTGATTACTAGCTCGTGATGTGTGTGTGTGTGTGTGTGTGTGTAAACTTACTACACAAATAGTTTACGTGACATTAAAGTTAAAAACCCCTATTTCTGACTTTTATTTATTTATGTCTATTATTTTTGTGTGTGTTTTTCCAACGTGCTCTCTCGTGATGCAGCTGAATATCAACAAAGGATTTTCTTATATTTAAATGCATGTAAATAATTTGCATTAAAAGGCAAGTGAACTACAAACTCGTACACACGACGTGCACGTTTCCCCAACCAAGCTCGTCCGTGTGTATGTCTAAATATCCTGTTAAATAAATATAGTGTGTCAGACTTTGGGACGTGTTTTTTAGCAGGATCGTTGCAGAATATGATCTGAACATGCCAACAAGGATTCACTCCACCAACAGCAACCTTCTCCCCAAATGAGCAAGGAGAAGTCTGCACAGCTCGGCAGCAGAAAGCTGAAACAGTTTCACAGCAATGGCCGACAAAGTTGAGGCTCCGCTCACTCACAAACACACCAACAAGCAACCAAACAAACCAACCGAAACACAACCTGCAGAATGCTTCACACACTCACAAAACACGTGTGTGTGTGTGTGTTCTCAAAGTAACCAGCAATATGTTGATTCAGTTGTACGTAGATGAGAGAAAGGCCTGTACGAGGTGGTGCAACACATTAAGGGGGGGTTTAGAGAGGGGGGAGGGGGGGTATGGTGTTATGGATTTGTTTGGTACCTTTGCTTCTTGGGGACAGAGTGCTCGACCTCGATACGTTTCCCCTGAATCTCCACTTTACCTGAAAAACAATTAAAAACACGAAGTCAGGACACACTGGTGCTACATGCTAACTGTTTACTAGCAGTGGCAGGCCCAAGAGGAGGGTGTAGGCTGTGTTATGAACACACAGCTCACGTTAGAGCTCTTCTTAAAGTTTAAGGTTTTATATTTAACAAGAAGCTACACGAAGCTGATAGGAAAGGGGCAGGGTGCAGGTTCAAAGGGCCCAAACAGGAACTGTAAAGTAGGCTCCATAATGAGCCACTCAAACCCTCATACGTATGATCCACGACACTTACATGAGTGTTATATTTTCTGACACCATTCAGGGTCCTATCAGTGTCTCTCAGTTTGTGTTTTGTGAGGATTCCTGCAGAAGAAGCTGCAGGCATGGCGACCTTTCGTCCTCACGTTACGAATAAACCAAATGGTGAGAAATACACGCAAATAAAAAAACAGCTGAGTGCAGGTTTGACACCAGCTGTGATTAAATTCTTATTTCTGTGTTCGTGAAGGTTCAGGGCATGTGTTAGAGTAAGAAACGGTAGGATATTTGTCTATCTTTGTCATAGTGGGCAGCCGGCTTAAAGGGGGAGGGGAGCCAGCGAGGCTTCATTATATATCACAGGAGAGTCAGTCCAATGCTAGGCTTCAAAATGTCACTCACATACAAATATAAGCCTCGAACACAAACGCTGTGATCACCACAGGAGGAATTACAGAGATCTTAATGAGGCTGCAGCATTGTGTGTGGTTGTAAGAAATGAAGGGGCTCTGGTGTAACGATATAGCTTTACGTTTACACTACGTGTGTCCCTCCCCCCTTGCAAAAGTTGAATGGCTCCCCTGGGTGTTCAGCTCTCCATTCAGCTACTATCAATAAAAAATAATTGTGTGGATGTGTTTTAATCTCGCATGATCACGGAGGAGCCCCGCAGGAGGACGGGGAGAGAATCTGGGGCACACCGCCGAAAGGTGTGCGAGAAGCCGCGGCTCTACCACCGCTCCCCCCTACTCACAATGAATGAAAGTAAAGGTTGTGGGGTCTCCTAAGACCTCCTGAACTCACCAGAAAACGTCTCGATGGCCTTCATGGCCCACTGATCGTCCGGACAGTCCACAAATGCATAGCCGGTTTTCATGAGAAACTGTCCGGAGTAGGGGATCTTGTGTTCGTCAAAGGTTTTTCCTAAGTCCTCAGCAGTCACGCTGTCGCTTAGATTCCCAATGTACAGCTTGTGCATGTTGGTTACTGTTTGCATTACTCCAGAGAAACGAAAACAAAAAACACAAAGGAAAAAAAAAACACCCCCAAAAATATCTCAAATAAAAGCCAGCGAATAAAAAAAAGTTTCTGCCGTTAATTCGCTTTTTAGAGCAACACGATCTTCACACTCTGTCAGGCAAATTAAATTAAATTCTCCGCTGCAAACTCAAACACAAAAAAAGAGATTTTTTAAAAAGTGTAAAAGCGGACGCGGGTGTTGAATTTAAATCCAGTTTGTGTGAGTGGAGCAGGAGGATGCGGCTCCAGCAGAGTACAGCAGCCTGTAGCCTCGGAGGAGGAGGAGGAGGAGGTGGTGAGTGTACTGGTGGTACTGGTGGATTTTGGTGATGGGTCTGTGGTGGAAGAGTGGGGAAAAAACTATGGCGGGATCAGGTCGGGAAAATGTTTTCCTCTCTCTCCGCCTCTCTCTCTCTCAGTGATCCGGCGGAGGGGAGACGCCGCCCCTCCACCGACTCACCAAGAGGAAACCACGTGGTGTGTGTGGAGTAGGTTAGAGAGGGGGGGGGAGGAGGAGGAGGAGGCACCCCCCCCTCTCATCTCATCCGAGGGTATTCACCAGATGAGCGCGTGTGTTCATGTGCACGCGAGAGAGAGAGACCCCTGTGCTCGTGCCATTCTGTACTGTACTCGTGCTTTTATGCAACACGACGTGGCCACACCACGCATGCGCCTAACGACCCCTACACTCCGTGCAGGCAACGATGATCCTATATATGGGAGTACGGGGTCTCTTACGTGACACATCAGGAGTTTTAGCTTAAAGCTAAGAGCGGGAAAACTTCTGTTGATTTTATTACTTTAGTCTCGTGCTCTGAACTGACGGAGGCCTCTGGGTGAAGTGAGAGGTTAATTTAAATAAAAAAAGACCCCGCCTTATTATTCTATAGCCCCCCCCCCCCTCTGTGGATGGAGACGGTGCGTGGTCATGATGTTACATAAATGACCTATGGTGAACCTCAGGGTGCTGCGAGCCGGGAACAAAAGGTCTGGGGGCCCCATTTTTTGCCTCAGGGGCCTCGAGGGTAGAGCTACTGGAAACCCTCCACCCCACTCACTGCCTCCTCCACCCACCACCCCCATTAACTGAAACAATGAATCAAACATGGCGGCGGATCTGCACCGCGCAGCGTTAGCTTGCGTTTCACCCTAAACAATCCAGCTTCTTCTAAAACCAGTGGTCGTTGTGCTGGTTCTGTAAGGTCACGGCTTTCAACAGGCCACACCGAGCCTTGGGCGCCCCACCCCGGCAGCCTGTTGTGTTTTATCATATTTGTGAGTGGGGGGGGGGTGTTGCAGAGGAAGTGACTGAATGGCGCAGTCGCTGGAAAAACTGCACCACACACTCCCTGCGCCTCTCTGCGTGGACGAAGGCTTATCAAAATGGAGGCTGACTGACACACAGGCCTGCCTCCCCCCTCTACACGCACACACACACACGCACACACACACACACTCTACATGCAGCCTGCGCCTTCAGGTTCTGTTTTGGTGTAAATTTCAACAAGTATGGCTTTAAACTTTTTTAAATCACCCGTCTCTCTCCTCCGTGTTGTTGGAGTTTAATGCCACGCCGTGTCTACACGCCCACGCAGCCGACGTGGCACCGTGGTGCGCCCGCCTGGTTAGAAAATGGCTCCTTCACACAAAATGGATCCAAACTATCCAACTGGTGGCGTAGAAATCATTCCTACTAGTTGGTTGAATTTTAAATAATTAGGAACATGTACCTTCCCTGTTACGCGTGGGACGTAATCAGCCGTTTTGTCCTTTTAAAAAAAAAAAAATCTGGCAGTTACTTTTTATATGGCTTTAATTAAGTCATATTTCATAATTTATATGTTTAATGACACATACATTTGAGTCTTTAAAGAGTATATTTGCAGCATGTTTGAGACTAAATCAACAAATGTGTTAAAACTTTCAAATATTGAAATTAATCTTAAATTAATCTCATTATCATCCTCAGTGTTAAAGTCACACACAGTCTGCAGGGCTGAACGAGCCTGCTATTAATAATTCAGTTATCGTAGCTGTAGGATGACGTCATCTATTAATGGTAAAGCTTTAATACGTTACATCAACTGAACACCCCCCCCCCCCCCCGCCTCATCTGTGGACCCCCCAGTAATGTTTTCCTTTTTTTTATTCTCATCCTGAGATGGTTAGGGCCCCTCTCCCCAACCCTCCCTTTCTCTGCACACACACACACACACACACACACACACACACACACACACACACACACACACACACACACACAGGGGTCACGGGGGAACGGCTGAGGTCACGGTGTTTCTGAGGGTCATATAACCACAAAGGACGTAACACAGTTTTGGTGAGAGGAACATTTCTCGACCGTTGAAGAAAATTTCATTTAAACCGTAAAAATTAGAAATGTTATTTTTAACCACCTGAACAATTCTCAGGGCGAGTTCATAACAAAACAAACATCTGTAGTTTAGTCACATAACTTTCAAATTTTATGAGATTCATTTGGAGATATAATTCACAAACATTTAGCTTCATAAACTTTTATCAACAACCTCTTTGTAATAATTGTTCTACGTTGTTTGTCAACAAACTTCAGGACTAAAACATAAATGATGCAGAGCGGGAAAGAGAACTGAAATATTGTACTCAAGTTGAAGAACTTTTACTTTGTAAACTTCAGTTCAAGTTAAATAACCCTTTTGAAAATGTAATATGTAAGTAGCGTTTCAAATTAACTTTTAGCAAAAATTGGAAAATTGTAAAAAAAAAAAAAAAAAAAATGGATCTCTCCGTGTAGAGGAAAAAGGATGAGAGGATTTAAATCTCAAATCTTCACAAATTAAAGTGAAAGTACAAAATAAGAGAGGGGAGAGAGAGAGGTAGACATGCGAGGAAAGGAGCCACAGGTCGGATCCGAACCCTAACCTGCCTGGGGGACCACAGCCTCCGTACATGGGGCGCACACACCAACCACTAGGCCACTGGCACCCCCAGCGAAAAACAATACTTAAAACCAAACCTTCTTAAACAGACGTTAAATTACAGATTAAAAAAAACGATTCAATAACAGAAACTGGAGTAAATATAATTAGCTAATTCCACTATATGGTCGTATTCATAATTTTTATTTGTCATCAAATTCCGCCCATCTTTACGTTCATCTCATGACGGTTTTTCCTGACGCATGAATTATAATATTCTTGGACTAAAGTCACAGTTTCTCTTCAGGGAGGAGGTGACTCTGTTGTGTTCGCTCTTAATGTGTACGTGAAGGTGAAAAGAACAACGAGACGGCAAAGAAAGAGAGATGTGGAGTCAGAGTAGAAACACGTTTTATTACGTGTAAATCATGTTTTTAAAAAGCTGCAGACAGAAAAGCAGACAACATGTGAGCACTGAAACAACCGTTAAACCAAAACGACCGAGTGTTCAGTCCATCGTTGAGATTCTGACAGCGAGGACGACAAAGAATAAAATATGACGTCACTTCTTCACCCGAACTCGTCGACGCCCTCCACTTAAAACTGAAGATTCTCTAACGAGTCGTGGAGTTAAAACGTCTCGGCCTCCTGAAGGTTTAAGGCAGAATAAAGTGTGAGATTTGTGACACGTCCACATGATGAGAATGATCACGATCCCTCGCTGTGGCGTTGACCTGAAACACGAAGAAGCAGCGTTACACATTCGCCGAGTGTAAAATGAAGAATGTATATTTAACGTTTGTGTGGAGACTCTGAGCGAGTTGGTGACCTCCTCGTGCACGCTCCGTAGTTTCCCTTCTCCTCGTTTGTTTGATGAATAGTTTCTTTAATAGTCTGATGGATAAATATTTATGTTAAAGGGTGTGTTAAAGTGTTCAGCTCTTTTAAAGTCGCTCTAGTTAAACGTACGGATTTCAAAATGTCTCTTGAGTTTTAAATATAAAAGTTCTTCAGAGCAGAGCCTCTCAGCTGGTCGGGCCTCGGGACCCCCAAACCCTTTACAAGACATCGTCACCCATATTTCTGAGAATCTTCAGAAACCTTCAACCAATCAGATTGTTAACGGAAAGTTGTTCAGTTTAGACCTCCGATGGAAGAAAACGAGAAAGAACAAAGATTTCCTGTTTGGCATTTATGGAATAATCAGTTCATGTAATAGGGAGCAGCAGGAATGAGTCCTAAAACCAGGAAGTAAGTTAGCATGTTAGCGCCATGGGGTCTAACGTCTAAAAGTCAACGGGGATTATGAATGGGTTTGAGGTTAGACGATTGAAATAAGGTCTGTGGTTAACACAAGCTGAAGAGATGTTGGCGTTTTATTAGAACACATAAACTACGTTAGGTAATACCCCCACTTGTGAATTTGGAAGATTTTACGCATCAACTCGCAAGGCGGTTGCTAACAAGTGGCTAAATGAGACTACAGTGGTTGTTGGGGACATTAAACGTCATCACGACAGACACAAACACTGGGTTAAGCCAAATATATACGGTTTATAAACAATATATGAAGCTACGGTTTCGCTAGCTTGTCAAAAACCGCAGATCTGAGATCATCTGAAGCATATCGGTAGTGACGTCAAAATCATCCGACCGTGGTGTAGTTAGCTTGTAGCATAACCTTAGCTTTTTACTTCTGTTGGCCGCATTAAAGCTTCAAACATCATAAAAATGGCGTCCATTTGTGAAGATTCTCCAGCTGAACAAAACGCCTACGCATCAGAAACGTGTTTGCCACAGAGCTTATTTTCTGCAGAAATCCCAGAGGCGAATTCACCATAGACTCCATGGCGATGCTACTCCACATCATTTGGTTTGTTCTCTACATCAGACCGTCCGTTAACCGACCTCGAGAGGGGAAATTCAGGTGTTGCAGTGCTAAAAAGACAAGAAGAAGAAGAGAATATGAATATGAATTCAAATTCAAAAAACTTTATTTGTCCCCGGGGGGAAATTCAAAGGCACACAGAGCAATATGAAGCCAAATTAAATATGATTAGATTCGATTAAATAGACAAATATTAACTTGTAATAGTTTTCTGCTGATTCGATGACTAGTCGACTGTTGACTGATATTGTGTTGCCTTGCAATGTTCAATAAAAATCTGAATTGAAAACGTCTAACAGAGGTTATAAAACGTGATGTATTAAAGAACAGGAGTCCGTTCTTCATCTCGTCACTTCAGAGATTTTCAGTGTGACTTCCCTCCCTAAACAATACCATCATGAGACCCGTCCCCTTGTTTGCATGGTTGTGTGTGTGTGTGTGTGTGTGTGTGTGTGTGTGTGTGTGTGTGTGTGTGTGTGTGTGTGTGTGTGTGTGTGTGTGTGTGTGTGTGTGTGTGTGTTGGGGAGGGGAGGGGAGGGGAGGTCAAAGGCTGTGGAGAAA